TTTAAAAAAATACTGTTAGAAATGTGATATATTTAAACATTCAGAACATTTTTTGACTTTGTAGAGCAAGGTTACTGTTCTCCCTGCTCTGATGAAGACTGTCTCCACTTATAGATTTTGAATTTGTTGAGCTCTCTGAAAATTCTAAAACCTATTCATTTGTTATCTAAATAATAAAGTGAGTATAAAGCACTTCTTAGTGTGTATCTTTGCAAAGTCCATAACTTTCCAATGTAGTCACAAAGATAATATACATCACCTCCCTATTTAAAAAATATTTTGGTTGCTGATTTAATATGATTCGTTTTTTCTTTTGGTGAAACAGCACCAAGTAATGCATTTACATGTTAAAAATAGATACCTAGGGGCAACCATAGTAAGTTAAGTCCTATAGATGTGAATCTACTTTATAGATCTATTGTGAAGCCCATCTAACATTTTTAAATTGGCCATTAAAAATAACCTAAACTCTTATTTGAATCGGCAGGTAGTATTGAAGTTATGTACTAAGCCACTCATCACAAGAGTTATCAATCCATAAATTTTCTTAAATGTTCAAAAGTGTAGAATGTCAAAGCTGCCAGTTCTAGTTCAGTCTATTCCTCTGTGTTTTACTGAATACTTGTTTTGAAGAGAATAAAGATGAATTCTAATATCCTACAGGAACAGATATTGTGGAAAGTTCTGAGTATCTTCTATTCAATGTCTTTTAGAATCACTTTGTAGATGTGGGTAGGACTAAAAACTGAGTCTAGTTTTCAGACTTAGTTGTTTCAAACGTTGAATCAATAACAGTGGACATAAAAGAATAGAAACTACTTGATGAATTATTTGCTTACTTCACTCAGAAGTCAGGTTTTCTGTTCATTTATAGGAAATTCCCCCATTATTTTGCCATACCTGTGACACCTTAATAGTTTTACCTGATTTCAAGGTACAGTATCAGCCACTGCATTCTGAAACTAACCTCTTATGTCCACAATTTGCCCTTGGGTCACTGATGCTCTCAGAAGACTTCTCAGTGGACTGCTCTTACTCTAATCTCGTGAGCCAATGCCCTTTGGCTGTCTCTAAACCAAGCACAATTGTATCATTTTTCACGTATGGTTTATAATAACCAAAAGAGCTGTATATTTTATAGGCAATTTCCATAGTTTACAAAGAACTGAAGTGATAAAAATAGTTAAAAGCAACATCCCAGATTTCCTCCAATTCATTTAGGAATTTGGGAGACTTTAAAAGTATGTTAATCATGCTAAGAATATCTTAATATTAACATTTCAATATTCAAATGCAATTTTATATTCTATTGAGAGCTTTCTTAAACTTGCTTCATAGATTTTTGTATACTTTTAAAACTAAAAATGTACTTTGTGTTATATTCAGGTTAACAAGCACAAATTCAACCAACTGTTATTATTTTGGCAGTTCTGAATTATAATCAAATTCCATAAAAATGAGTAGAAAGCACAAAATGTTGTGAAATGTCCCTTTATATGTTGGAGAAAGATTTAGCTGAGGCAATGCTTCAAAAGTTTAAAACCATTAAATTCTCCAAACTCTAAAATATGGTCAATTAACCACTTTGTGAGTCCTTTAAGAAGAAGGAAACCAGTAAACATATTTAAGGAGTTATGTGACTAATAATTATTTACTAGAATCATTACAGGGATCTGTGATCCCAAATCCTGTTTGTCAGGCACAAATAAATTCCCACTAAACACTCCTAGATCTATTGATGCTTATTAAAGTGATATAAAATTTTGATTTATGGAAAGATGAAATAGTTCCTAAGTTTAAAATCATGATATATACTCAGATTCCAAGTTTGTTATTTTATTAATTTGAAAAATTAAAATACTTTATTAAAAATTTAGAAGAAAATAATTATTCAGGTAGTATTTTTCCAATAACATTTCACTCCTTTCAAAGCCATATGTAGTTAGCAAGCTTTTTAAAAATTGCAAAAACAGAAAATGCTTGATGAACATTTATAATGTACTGAAACTGAGCTAGTGTTTGAAGATCTCTGAGAATGTTCTGATGATTTTAGTAGCAACTGTTTAGGCAAATAAGGGATCTTAAGTACAATATATAGCTCACATGTTGCACCTCATTTAAAGGAGTTACACAAGAGACACGGTCTGCAAGGATGATTTGGCTCTAATAAGTTCAATACAAATTACTTAAGTCCATTGAATATACTCCCACTGAAGAAAAATGTACCCCTGAAATTTGATTATTAAAAATATGATAAAAATATTACAAATATTAAATATTAGAAATTACTTGAAATATTATTAAAATATTCAATGGTATGCTATCTGATATATTGATTTCATTTATAAATAATCTCGTTTTTTTAAAGAAAATAGTTATAATTTGGACTGTTTACATTTTCTATTAACATAAAAAAATCAATTATGCAAAGAAGTAAAGTCTGAGATGGATCATTCTGATAAAACACTATTAAAGAATTACAATTATTTTGTATGAGAAGCTCTTTCAGAATTCTGATGTTTCCCCAAATTTTATTAGCAATATTAAAGATTCTAATGTCTAAGACTTTTATTTGTTTTAGTAATTAATATTCCTTAAAGTATTAACTTCAAAGTTACTTCAAGCATAAAGAAGTATTTTTCAGAACCCAGCATTAGAATTTTATAGAACTTTCTAGAAAATAACTACTCTATATATAAATTATTGGGCAAGGCTGAAATCTTTGAAAAGTTTGAAAAGACAAGTTGAAAATTAAAATTAATCCAAGCTATCTGCAATCCTTTCAAGTCTAATTTTTAAGTAAAAATAAAGAGATCCTTCTTAAAATAGCTTCTAAAATCTTTTGTCATGTTTCCAATGCTTCCTAACAATGTCCACTTCATTCAGTTATTAGGTATAAAATGTGGCAGGTCTTCTCTGTATTGTTTTCCAGGTGAACTGGATGGTTCTACCAAGATTTCATTACTGTTCACAGTTGGTGCTTTGTAATTCTATGTAATTTTAATTAAAGAAGAATTCTGAAACAGCCTCCCTCTGTGCTACCTCCAAGCATACAATTAGCAGAGTACAACGTCTGCTGTGAACAGTCAGTTAATGATTTCAGTTTAATAATTTATTATTGCTTCTTCAGTGCCAACCACTGTAGAAAAATAAGAAGCTAAAACTGTATGTATAAAGTAGGCATTTAAGGTTTGTAGTTTAGCAATTTCAAAAGGATTATGTCCTTGGTGTAAATCTAATTTCTCCACAACACAAGCCCCCCATTCTTTACATAGGAATGAATACCATTTTCTCTCCCAAGGATTCCTAGAGAAAATAAATCCAGGTTTTCCCTCTTAAATGTAGTTGTATCTAGAAGATGATTTTGATATCAAAATATCTTCCTTTCACTACTTAAAAACAAAACATTCTTCTCAAGTGCATCTTTGGGGAAAGGAGTGGGAAGGTAAATTTTCCCACTGATTTTAAGTCAATTTAAAATAGTCTTTTTAAAAAATTAAGTTTCTAAGTTCTGCCATGAGACATTTCCCCAACTTGAAAATCTGGACAAACAAGTTGAACTAAAATTCTGCTCCTAAGTGACTTTTCATTTATAGAAATCATTTTACTATTATGGTAGAAAAATGGAAGGATTCAAATTAGTCATTATTTTTCACAAGAAATGTAAGCCAATCTCTAAATAATCACCAGTTCTTTCAATGAATTTGTATCATGTTAGTTCATTTTGAAAACTAGTGCCTCAAATGTGAAGTTGTAGGAGAATTTAATTTGATTAAAACTTTTTTTTAGAAGCAAAGGAACAAACCCATAATCTTAAATGATACCCTTAATATTGATATAAAAATAGAGATAATATACTTGATATAATTTTAATTTTGGATATTAGACCTCATGGGCTACTATGTAATAATAATGTTTTGTTTATATATATATATATATATATATATTCAAAATCATATTTTAATCTACATAATAAAACCATAATATGTTAGCTTTTTCCTATAGAAATTAGTGCATGTATAATATTAATTAAAATTCTCTTACATTTCCCTTATATGTTATTCGTATAACCTTATTGAGAATTACACAATTGTGAGAAATGCATTTTAGAAAAGTAAACATTCTTGGACAAAATTCAAAGTTATAGAAATCACTTTAAGCTCACCATAAATTTTGTCACTTTACACTCAAATTTAGCTTTCTCCTATTTCAAGGTTACATGATTAAAATTGAGCACCAAAGTAGGGATAAGAAGAGTATGTTAGCTACAGAAAGAGACGAAAATTATCATTTTATTGTTCTGTTCTCCCAAAGGTTCAGGTTAGGTGGAATGAGTGAATGGTCAGAACTTCCTAAAAAAAAAATCATTTAAATGGCATTCCCCCTAAATACAACAGTGACAGAAGCTCAGATGCATATGACTTCACTGCCAAAACATTTGTTTAATACTATGCAAAGAGTAAAATGAAACTTCTTGCAATGAATAGTATAATACTATAATAATGTCCACAAATGGAAGCATAAATGACTTAATGTAATCATACTGCATTTGATACAAAGGTCTACAGTAAATAAAAAATGAAAAAATTGTTTATTCACAATAATAATGATACCATCATCCTTAGCTTATGGTTCATAAATTCCATATGAGATCAGTTTTAAAAAGTAGCCCAAGAGCCATTATCAATTGGTTATTTCTTTGGGTTTTACTGTCACTTCCAGAATCAATTAAAATGCATTAAAATTCATACCACTTTCAATTTGTTCAAGTTTTTAATTTAGTTTATAATTTGTAAACTAAATTTCAGATAGAAAACAATTGCTCTCTTGCTCCATGGTTTCTTAACATGAGCTGCTTAAGAAACACTTTTAAAAAACCAGCAATTTAAAGACCTATATTAAAATCATGCCTTCTGCCCCTAAAATAAAAAATGTACTCTCTGCTTCGTTATTTGTGTTTTTTTGAGGGTAAGAACAATTGCCAACCATTTGTTTTTCAGATATACGGGACAGTGGAGGTCCCAAGCCAGTGATGGTGTATATCCATGGTGGCTCATACATGGAAGGTACTGGAAATTTATATGATGGGAGTGTGCTGGCGAGCTATGGCAATGTGATCGTCATCACTGTCAACTATCGGCTTGGGGTACTTGGTAAGAAATTTCTTTTTTGTTTTCACATTTAATACATGAAGTATGCGATGGTTTTTGATTTATTATTGACTTATTTTGTTTTGCTTGGCTTTGTTTCACTCCTTCTATGTTTGTGGATCTTTATGAACCAACATTTTTCATAGTTCTAATGAGTTCTATAAATGTTCACAAGCTATGTGACAAAGAATAGCTATGGAAGATTTTTAAATGTAAACCTAAAAGGTAATGAAATCACTCACATTGTTGGAGAATGTACTGCCTGGTTTGGCTTTATAGGACTGTGAAAGGTAACAATGGCAAGGCCTTAGGAAAAAAAGTTGGTCCCTGGGTGAATTTTTCCTTCTTCTACTTTTCTTTTTTACAATGCTATAAAATTGCTGGAGGTTTGCGGTGACCTTAGAATCAATTTTATATTCTCTCCTTGATTATGTGTTTGGACTGGCTTTGAGAAATGATTGTTTGCTATTGTTGTGCAGGCTTTTTTTTTTCTTTCTTTTTTGGTCCCATAATAATTAGAAATATGTTCTCAATGTTTTTTGATTGGATTATTTAGAAAAACATACATTGATTTCATAAAATGACATAGTTCAGTTTAATAATGCATACTGTTCCCCAAGGAACTACAAAATAAATACAACATACAGATCCTCAGTTTTGAAGAAAAGTATAGAGAAATATTATTTATAAAATGTCTTTCCAGGTAGTCTGAGGTAGGCATGTTATTTTATGTAATAAACTTAAAAAAAAACTAATGTGCTAACCTTTCAATTTAATGTTATTTGCTCCAATTTTATTATAGTGTTCAGAGTAAAATTGCTGTGTCATTTAGTAAACGTCTATATCTATGATATTTTCATTAACAGAATTTGCTTAAAAAGCATAATTTGACCTCAAAAGTTTTTATTTTTTTAATATTAATTGTTCTCAAAAGTTACAGATATATAGATTCAAGAGGTATAATCTATCAATTTTTTTGGACAAATAAAAATATATCACACTTTCTTTATTCTAAAATATTTAAAAAATATTTTGGAATACCTTCTCTTTTATGATTATTTGATGTTGTATATTCCAACCATATTGAGAAAAAAAAGTTTTTTCCTCTTTGGTAGAAGCTATTATTATTCTAACTTCTGTGAAATCATAATTTCACATTTATGCTAATCATAGAATATAAAATACATTAATTTTCTGTAAATCAAGTTCATATGTCTTGGGTAAAGGTGAGGTCTTAATCTTTTTCTAGTTTGCTATTTAGAAATTTAAAGAGTGGTGAGTGATAGCATAGATACATTGTATCAAAGTAGGCTTGAAATATTTCTGTAGCTTTGCTCAAGTATTCATGGTTCGAGTGTCTAGTTCTGCATCAATTCAGTAGTTTTATAATTTCAATAGGCTGGGATGAGTGTCTTCTCATCGATGAAAACCCTGCATATTACAAGATACAGAAGAGTTTCTAGTTTTCTTAAATATCTAAGTCTTGTTTGTTTCCTATAGAACACTTTATGTAAGGGTCTTCACTTATCTTCAATACTTTAACTTAATTTATGATATTGTTTATGATTGAGTTATTTTCATTGGTTATTATGCTCATATATTCTGAATGGTGCAGGTTGAAAATCCTGAGCAGTGACCAGTTTGCAGAGGAAGAATTTAAAATTAAATACCAATAGTGGTAACAGTGTTTTCAAGGACTTAGATGTTCAGCCAGTCATATATGTATTTATTTTAAGCTCTTTGGCCACACATTATGTTGCCCTTTTCTTTTATTGGTTGTACCAACATAAAATGCAATTTGCAAAAATGAACTTTGTTGTTTTGTTGATTGAAGCTTTACTTCTTTATCCACTTACCCACCCTTCCTTCCTTCCTTCCTACCCTCCCTCCTTCCTTCTTTCCTTCCTTTCCCCCCTTTCTTTCTTTCCTTTCTTCCCTCCCTATACCTTGCTATTTCTCTGACCCCCCCCCCATTCCCCTCTTTTTCTTTCTTTTCTTCTTTTTCTGTGTTCAAAAGTAGTGAGGACTGGACATTGATCCAATTTGAGCCCTTCCTTCATGCCCGTTATCTATCTTTATGTGCCACACTGAATGGTTGGATTGCAGAACAGATGAAGAACTTGAAGAGTTCTTTGTATAATGGTAAACATTGTAAGTGTTGATGAGGGGTGATTTTCTCAGTGTTAAATACTTGTTCTGACTCTACTGAATTCTTGGTTTTGCCCATATTGAATTCTTTTTTTTCCTCCTAAACACACATAATACTCAGCCAAAATTTTCCTTTATTGACCTTTCAACATGACAAAGTACAAAACTTTGTTAGTAAAACACTTTGAGGTATAACTTAAGACATTAATTCTATATGGCTTCTGGTTACTTTCTTCCAAAAATATGTGTTGGGTGTTGTTAAAGCACACGTAAGTAGATTAATTCATGAAAAAGAAATTATCAGAACATTTGTTTCAGCACCCTTTGCATGAGTGGCGCTCTAAAACACATCAACAGCTCATTTCCCAGGACCACAGCAATGAGCACTGTAGAGTTATGAGGTTGTTTTTATGACTATTTTTCTCTAACACTAACAAGGTAAGCCAAGGTTTATTCGGCGTGGGTTCCAAAAATATTGCTGTCTAGTTTGCACTTGGGTAAATTACACAGAAAATGAGATTTGAACCCACATTAGAGAAAATCCTGAACTGTGTTTTGATTTGGTTGTTTTGTTGTGAAGAAAACAAATTTGGGGGATCCAACCTACAAACAAACTAATTGTAAGACTATTGCTCGAAGGCAACTGGCAACATGTCAGTATGTCTGGAACAGATACTGTAATTAGTCTTGCTTTGAATTTGCCATCCTAGGGGGAAAAGTCTTGCACAACATTTTGCTTTCTTGTTTTTCTTTACTTTTTTGGTGATAAGTAGAAATATAATAATGTTTCAGAAATAAAATTCATACCACTATCTGGTGGTCAAGACTCCAGTTTAAAGCATTTCATGTTTAAAAAGAAATTTTTGTTCATTACAAAGTAGGAAGACCAGGAAAGAAAAAAAAAAAAACGCTTTGATGTCCTCCACCTTTGATGATTTTGTTTAGAACAGTGATGTACAGTGTGACTATTATTGTGTTATGTATGTTTTCTCCTCCTCAAAAGGTGATAAGAATTGATCATAAGATTGACAAAAAAGGAAAGGCAAGGGAGGACTCTGCTCCATCCTCACTTCTCCACTTTACCCTAAGTCTTGTTTGAGTTCTGGCTGGCCGTGTTTCATACACTGAGTTTTGATTTTTTTTCCCGCTACTTTCTATATACATTTTTTTGGTCTTTAGCCAGTTTTGTATAAACTCTTTCCATATTTGCTTTCTTTACTATCTGGTAATTAATCTATCATTACATAGTCCTTTAAAATGTATTTAGAATAATTGTTAGTACATACTTTTTAATATTCTACTGTATGATTAATAAAGATTTTCATTTTGGTAATTTAGGGAGAAATGCTTTGATTATGTGTTCTTAAAGAGGAAAAGAATCAATATCAAATAATTTGATTATAACTCAATTATAACTATAATTTATGATTTATGATTATAAATGAGTACAGTGTTGGATCCTCCACCAAGGTCCTTTGGATCAGATCAAAATTGAAAGAGAGTATTAAATGAATCATTTACTGTTTGGATGAGATACTATGCACCAAACTTTTTTGAAAATAGAAACTACTTAAATGATAATGTATTTTTAGGTTTCAAAAAAATGAAAAAATGCATTAAGTAATTTAGTATTAAAAAGTATTTTGAGTACCTCTCTATATTTAGAATAAATTTATAAGTTGTTTTAGAGTAATTTAGAAAAATTTTAACATCACTCTAAGGATCTAACTTGGGCAAACATAAGATTCTTTATCTGGTGGAAATGTAATGAGTCACTTTTGTCCTGATATGGATATTTGGGAGGCAAGTATACAATTTGTAATTCTAGCCCATGTTATTTATTATAGAAAATATGCCTTTAAATATTTCAAAGCTACTGATATATATATGTGGAAGTCTTGCAAATTCTTTAAAAAAGATCTAATCAAATATTTTAATGAATAAAACAGTATCCACACCACCCACCCATTAAAAAAATTTGAAGCCGTATCCCATCTACTTGTATTTGACAAATTTCATTTAGTTTACTTTATAATGTCATGTAAGGCTAAATCATTTAAAATAATAATCTGTTATCTTTACTGCCTATCAGTTTTAATAAACTCCTAAATTTATTTTTATTCTTTTAGACTTAGTTAATGAAATTTGTTGATTCTTATAACTAGGTTGTATTAATGCTACAAGTTTTATCAGACAAATGACAGAAATAACTATAACTTTGGTGTTATCTGTCACCAAATAACACTTGTTTCAGCAGTTATATTTTGCATGAGAAATAAAAGGCAAGGACAACACTATCCTTATTTTTAAACAGCTTTTGATTTAATTGAGAGATAAATAAACCATCAGTAGAATGTAGTAATTGTATTCTGATATGTTTCTAATATGTTTATTAATTCCTTTATATTATAAATTCACTTTGCATATAAGAAAAGGAATCAGAACAACAAAATTGGAAAGAAAAATAGAATATACCAAATAGCTTAATGGGGATGCCATGACTGAAATTCATATTTTAATCCTAACAGCCTAGGAGCAAGGTTTGTAAAATCTGTATATTGCTCATGATTTAAAAAGCAAAGCATATTATTTCCTCAAGCAGTATAACATTTTAATATTTTTTATTCTTATTTGCATTATTTTTGTTTCTGTCTTATTATAAAATAAAAAAATCAAAACCTATAAAAAATAACAAAAACACTCAAATTTGACCTTATATTTAAGAGTAGTATACAATCAAATATTGGATTTTATATGATGATTATATCCTACAGTGTGTCCCAGTGTGATCATGGGGCATAAAAGGAGAAGGTTTTAGCTTGTCCTTGGAGTTAATATGGGTTACTGGAATTGGT